ATGAGGGAAAGCGGGAGATAAAGCGTCTATCTATTAAGTACTGTAAGAAGCGTGCGTCTGCTAGGAGAACTGAGAGAGACCTCCTGGTCCGGTTAGCTGATTTCCTGAAACAGCGTGTGGATTCTGGGGCTATGTTCTGTTTTGGTCCTTATCAGTCTACCCTGTCCAGTCTTGGCCAAGTTCGACCTGAATGCTGCGCGGGGTGCCCAGGTCCGCAGTCGTGCCCGCTGGGTTGAGGAGGGTGAGTCCTCCTCTGCTTACTTTTTCCGTCTGGTAAAGAAGCAAGGGGCTGATCGTTTAGTGTCTGCCCTACGTCTAGATGATGGTTCTATTGTTAACTCCGCTGCGGATCTTGTTGACTGTTTCGCCAATTTTTATTCTACTCTCTTTTCTACGGAGGAAGTGGACCGTGTTTCTCAGGAGGAGCTTTTATATAAACTCTCTGCACGTTTGTCTGCTGATCAGTCGGAGGTTTGTGAGGGTGCGCTGTCAGTTGATGAATGTTTTTCTGCTCTTAAGGGGATGGCTCATCATAAGGCTCCGGGAAATGATGGTCTCCCGATGGAGTTTTATGTAAAGTTCTGGCAGGTTTTTGGGGGCTGATTTGGTGAGGGTTCTTAACTCTTGCCTCATGAACCGTCGTTTGTCCAAATCTCAGCGTAGAGGTGTCATTTCGCTATCCTTCAAGAAAGGTGATAGGCTTGATCCCCGGAACTGGAGGCCCATTTCGTTGCTTAAAGTGGATTATAAGATTGCGTCTAGAGCGATTGCTGGTTGTCTGTTGAAGGTTTTACATGTTGTGGTGGGTAAGGACCAAACGTGTGGTGTCCCTGGGCGTTTCATCGGGGAAAATGTTGCGTATCTGCGAGATGTTGTTGATTACGTTTCCCAGGTTGGGGTCTCTTGTGCGATTCTCTCTTTAGATCAAGAGAAAGCCTTTGACCGAGTCGACTGGTCCTTCATGAGGGCCACCCTGTCTTCAATGGGCTTTGGTCCTTCTTTTATTGGCTGGATTGATCTATTTTACAGAGGTTCGCAGAGTGCGGTCAATGTCAATGGGCACGTCTCATCTTATTTCTCCCTGTCTCGGGGCGTTCGTCAGGGATGCCCTTTATCGCCTTTGCTTTATGTTATGGTGGCTGAGGTTTTGGCTTGCAATATTCGTTCTCACCCTGACATCTCTGGACTATCTCTCCCCGGTTCTGCGGTCCCTTTGCCCCCTCTGTCGCAGTATGCGGATGACACTTCTGTTGTCGTCACGTCTGACGATGCCATAACTGCTACTTTTGAAGTGTATGACCTCTATGAACGAGGTTCTGGACTCCCCTGTTGCTATCTAATGGAGTTCCGCTAAGGTCAAAATTTTGGGGGTCTTTCTTGGCCCTTTTTTTTCTGAGGAAGATAACTGGCGTCCTCGCATCACTGCTGTTGAGAATGTTCTGTCGTCGTGGCGCCAGCGTTCTTTGTCCTATCGTGGGAAGGCTCTGGTGATTAATGCCCTGGCTCTGTCAAGGATTTGGTATGTGGCGTCTGTGATTCACATGCCTCAGTGGGTGTTGCGTGAGTTGAACAAGCTGGTTTTTAATTTTTTCTGGAAAGGTAAACCTGATCTCGTTACTAGGGATGTTATTGCCCAACCTCCCTCAAGCGGCGGTTTCTCAGTCATTAATATTCATCTGAAGGTCTGGGTTCTTCTGCTTCAATGGGTGAAACGTTTTTCGTTGTCCCTGTCTACGTGGGTTTCCTTTTTTTTGTTCTGGTGTGGCCAAGGTCTTGCTGCCTCTCCTGTTCAGGTTTTATCCACCCCGTCTCGTTTCTATGGTTCGGGTGGGCTGCCGGTTTTCTATCTTTCTCTCCTGTCTGCTTGGAGGTCTATTGACGGTTCCTTTCTGCCTAGTTGGGGTTCGCTTTGTGTTGGTCGTGGTTTGATGGTATCCCCTGTGTCTTCGTTAACCTCCAAGTCAGCATATCTTACGCTTGTATCTGAACTTCCTGGGGTTCCTCATTGTGTTGGGAAATTTCTTCCTTCTTTCGGCACCTTGTACTGGCCCTCCACGTGGCGCAAGTTATTTTTCTTTGATATGGACTGGCAGGTGATTGAGTTGTCATGGAAAGTTGCCCACGGCGTGTTATACACTGCTGATCGTTTGTCTTCGTTTGGTTATGCCATTCCTACTGCCTGTTTTTGTGGTCATGCATTGGAGTCTTTGGATCATTTATTCTTTTCTTGTCCTTTGGCTGTTAGTGTGCTTTCTTGGCTCTCTTCACTGTTGTTTCTTTCTTCTCCATTGGTCCTATCCTTCTTCGCCATGTCCGTTTTGGATTCTCGGAAGATGAGTTGCTGTGCGTCCCTCGGTTTTTTGTTTATGCTCTCAATGTGTGTAAGTTCTCTATTTGGGTGGCTAGGAATGACTTTCACTTCCATGATGTGCAGCCTGGAACTGTTGCTGTTTTGGAAGGTGTTAAGTCCCGGATTCGGTTTCATTTGCCATTGTTTTTCCGCCTTTTCAAATCCTCTAGGAGGCGCAGGTATTTTGGTAGGCAGTGGTGTGCCAATGGTGTTGTTGGTTCAGTCCGTGATGGCCGTCTGTTTTTATCGATTTAGTTCCTACAGTTTTACATTTTTTAGCTTTTCTTTTTGTTTGTTTCCCACTTTTGTTTGCTTTTGGTTGTTGGCTCCCTCCCTTGCTGCCTGGCCCTTTTGTTCCATCCGATAGCACGCCATCAGTCTGGTGGGGAGTCACCCAGATGGTTTTTTTTCTTTGTCATTGTTTTGGTTCCTCCTGCGGTTTTTAACTTGTCCCTTTGTGCTGTCTGGTCTTGGTGTTGTTTTGCCCCGTCATGTGTGTTTGTAAGGGGAGGCGGGGTTCGGTCCCCCGGCGAGTTTGGCGTGCTGGTGCACCCTTCCTTGGGCTTGTCTGTCAAGTTTGTGTGTGTGGTACTTTGTTAATGGTAGCTCAGCATTGCACTCAGCTGGGTTCACTAGCCCTAAAACATAAAAAACTTACCTGACGCGGGACACTTCATTGTGGTACCGTGGGATAGTATCTCGTCCTTGGTTGCGCTTTTTTCAAATTAGCTTTAGCTTTTTTGTGTGAACAAGTGCTAAGTACCTGGCGGGAGGGAACGCCAAAGTTCACTGCTTAGGTTTTCTTGCCCTTTCGGTGGGTGCGTCGCCCAGCCGTTGGCTGTTCGTGTTTCTTGGTTGTCTGCCGTTTTTGGTGCTGTGGATTTGTATCGTGGTTTTGGTCTTGGTCGTTTCAAGCCTTGATCTACGTAAGTTTTTGCACATTTACTGTCCTTGGCGGGTCACCCGTCCCTTTTTGGGCCCTGCCCATCAGGGCTTAACCCTGGTTGTCTTTTGGGGTTGCCCTTCTTGTTTTGGTCCCCGCCCATCAGGGCTTAACCCCGTTGGTGGGTTTTTCTCCGTTTTTCTTTCTTTTCATCATGCCCCGGCATTTCCCTTGTACTGTCTCGATTGATGTTAAGGAGTTTGCCGATCTGGGTACAACTCGCCCGGAGGTTGTTTCCAAAATTATAAATTCGTTTCACCCAATTAAGCCTATTGTTGTGGTGCAGTTTTTGGGTTACGATGCTAAGGTCACTTTCGAGAGTGAAGCCCATAAGCGAGAAGTTTTGGCTAATGAATATGTCTCTATTGAGGGAATTGAGTGTGCTGTTCGGGGGGGGGGGGAGAGCGGGCCCTGGGCCCCAGAATGTCCTCGTTTATAATTTCCCCTATGAAACACCCCATGCAGTTGTTCAGGAGGCTTTAAGTCCTTTTGGAGAGGTTGAGTCTGTTCATTTTCGTCACTGGACTCATGCTCAGGAAATATGTGATGGGGTACGTACGGTTAGGATGGTGCGGTCTCGTGCCATCTCTCGCAATTTGGTTATTGATGGCTTTCCTGTTAAGATTTCATACCCGGGTCAGGCCCTTGAATGTGATATTTGTGGGGAGTCGGGCCATATTGCAAAAAACTGTTCTTTGCGTGGTAAGTGTCTGGAGTGCAGGCAATCCGGGCATTTCCAGCGGAATTGTCCAGTACGTCTGCGTTGGCTTCAAAGGTCTGTGGATAGTCTTGATCCTGTTCCTCTGGGTGATGTCTCGGGACCCCCTCTGGTGCATTGCCCCCGGGCGTGGGGCCGCCACCTGTGGTTCTCTCTGGTGTCCCGCCTATTGCCCCTTTGGCCAATCAGCCTGATGGCGTTGCTAGTGAGGAGTCTTCCTCTGTTGATGTGCGCGATAACCAGTTAGATGAGTTTGCCAGCCAGTCCATTCTGGCTGATGTTTCGGTTGATGGCCCTGTTTCTGCCTCTGCAGGCCCATTTGGTATTCAGATTGGCTCTTCTCAACCTCGTGCTGAGTCTCAAATTCCAAATTTATCTGTGCCTGTTGATACTGTTACTAGTGATGTTTCTAGTGATAATGATAGTTTGGTTTCTGTTAGTGAAGAGGAAATTACAAGTAGTAGTAATGAAAGTAATACTAGTGAACATAGTTCTAAGAATAGTAGTGTCATTTCAAATACTAGTACTACTAAAGTGAATATTAGTGAAAGTAATGTTATGGATAATACAAGTACTACTAAAGTGAATATTAGTGAAAGTAATGTTATGGAAAGTACATGTACTATTAATGAGAATATTAGTAATACAAAGAATAGTAATGTTAATGACATTGTGAGCAATAGTAGAAATGTTGAAATTGCTGATAGTTTAACTCATTCTGGTCCTAACCTGGTCAGCCCAGGATCGTTTTCTGGCGGGGCTGAAGCGCCCCTTTCTTCTGTCGGTGTTTTGGACAGTGCTGTCCAGGTGTCCAATGTTCCTTCGGGACTTAGGTTGTCGAAAGGGTCTAGCTCTGGTGTGTCTAAGCCTGCTGCTGCCCGCCCTTCGGGCCTTCGCCCTGGGCTCCGCAAAGTGATTTCTGACTGGTCTTTGGTGGCTAGGCGTAAACGTTGATCCATTTACCTACCTTTACTTTCGATACTGCACTGTCAATTATTTCTGTTAATGTTAATAGTTTGCGTGACCGCGATAAGCGGGCTGGTTTTGTGCAGTGGCTGCGCTTGCTGCCCTCTCCGGCGGATGTGGTATGTTTGCAGGAATGTCACTGTGTTTCTGTAGATGAGGTCTCTTTTTGGTTCCCGGGTTCAGGTCTTCTTTGTGCTGTGTCCCTGGGTTCTAATCATTTGTGTGGCTGCATCGTGCTATTTAGGCCGTCTCTCTCTCTTATTCGTTCGTGGTCTGATGACCATGGCCGGTTTCTCCAGTGCGAATTCTCTTACCGTGGCAAGGTATTTCGTGTTGCTTGTGTGTATGCGCCAAATCGCAACCCAGAGCGCGAGGAGTTTTATGATGATGTTTGTGTGCGGGTTGACCCTTCCGTCCCCACAGTTTTGTGTGGGGACTTCAATGCTGTGTTCCATCGTTTAGTGGATCGCGTTGGGTCGGATCCTGCTGATACTGTTCGGGAGAGCTTGGTGGCCTTGGCTCACCTTTTTTCATCTTGTTGTGTGACGGACATTTGGCGTTATTTGCACCCTTCTACCAATAGTTTTACTTGGTCGAGGTGGAATGGCCTCGTTGCCTCTCACATTGATCTGATTGGGTGTCCGTATGCGTGGATCTCGTCAGTTGGTTGCTGTGACATCTTGCCTTTTCCGTTTTCGGACCACTGTGCACTCTTTTTCTCTGTCTCTGTTCCTGATGCAATTTCTCCTGGTCCGGGGTTGTGGAAGCTCAATTCCGCGGTTTTGGATGAGCCTGAGTTTGTCGCTCATTTCAAACTTCTGGTCCTTCTGGCGTAGTAGGATCTTCTCCTTCTCCTCTCTTGCTGATTGGTGGGATGCAGGTAAAGCTGAGATCAAGAGGCTCTCTGTTGATTATTGTCGAAACCGAGCCAGGGTCAAGCGGGGGGAACGTGATCTTTTATCTCGTCTTGTTTCCTTTCTCAAGGAGAAACTCAATGCTGGTGCTACTTTTTGTCTTGCTCCTTATCATACTGCCCTCTCTAACTTGGGTAAGTTTGATCTTGAAGCTGCACGTGGCGCACAAGTCCGTGGTCGCGTCCATTGGACGGAGGAGGGCGAAGTTTCCTCGGCCTATTTTTTTCGGTTGATTAAGAAACAGAGTGCTGACTGCCTTGTGGCAGCTTTGCATTGCCCGGATGGTACTGTGGTTAACTCTCCTCCTGAATTGGTTGAGTGCTTCTCTCAGTTTTATTCTGACCTTTTCTCTGCTGAGCTGGTCGATTTTGCTGCTCAGGATGTGCTTTTGTCAAATGTTTCTGCCCATCTTTCGCCTTCTGAGCGTGATGACTGTGAAGGCCTCTTGTCTGTTGAGGAATGTTTTACTGCTCTTCAAGGCATGGCTCGCAGGATGGCCCCCGGTACTGATGGCCTCCCTATGGAGTTTTATCTTAAGTTCTGGAGTCTTCTTGGTTAGGATTTGGTTAGAGTTCTGAACTCTTGTTTTTCTGCTGGTCGTCTGTCTCGCTCGCAGCGTCGGGGTGTCATTTCTTTGTCCTTTAAAAAGGGGGATCGCTTAGATCCAAAGAATTGGCGCCCTATTTCTCTCCTTAATGTAGACTACAAGATTGCCTCTCGCGCTATTGCTGGTGGTGGGGTTTTCTAAAAAGCTACTCTGGTTAAGATGGGTTTTGGGCCGTCTTTCTCTGGTTGGATTGACTTGTTTTATAATGGCTCTCAGAGTGCGGTTATGTTAATGGCCATATCTCTTCTTTCTTTTCCTTGTCACGTGGTGTCCGCCAGGGTTGCCCGCTGTCACCACTCCTGTATGTGTTAGTTGCCGAGGTCCTAGCATGCAACATCCAGTGTCACCTGGACATTTCTGGTTTGACCCTTTCCGGTTCGTCTGTTCCCCTTCCCCCTTTGTCTCAGTATGCTGATGATACGTCTATCATTGTGACGACGATCGTGCTATTCTTGCCACCTTTGAAGTTTACGATCTTTACCAACAAGGCTCTGGTGCCAAGTTGAACCTTTCTAAGTGCAAGGGTTTGCGGCTGGGGGCTTGGAATGGTCGCGTGGATTGCCCGGTTGTGATTGAGTGGGGGTCTGTCAAGCTTAAGATCTTGGGTGTTTTTCTTGGTCCCTTGGCTTCACCGGAGCATAATTGGCGGCCGCGTATTTCTGCTGTAGAGAATGTCTTGCTTTCGTGGCGTCAGAGATCCCTTTCTTATCGTGGGAAGGCTGTTATCATTAACGCACTGGCTCTATCTAGGATCTGGTATGTCGCGTCCCTGGTTTACATGCCCCCTTTTGTTTTGCGTGAGCTCAGCCAACTCGTTTTTAAGTTTTTTTGGAGTGGTAAGCGTGATCTAGTCGCCCGTCGGGTGGTTCAGCCTACCTCCTGTGGTGGCTTCTCGGTGGTGGATGTTGAGTTGAAGGTGTGGGTGCTTCTTTTGCAGTGGGTGAGACGCCTGTCTGTCTCCCCTTCTACTTGGGTTTCCTTTTTCTCGTTCTGGTGTGTCCGTACCTGGGGTGTTTCTCCAGTTCAAGTTCTCTCTACACCTTCTCGGTTTTGTGATCTTCGTCGTTTACCCTGCTTCTATAGGGCTCTTCTGTCGGCCTGGTCGTCTGCTGGTGGTTGTTTCCTCCAAAGTAGAGGTACGCTCTCCGTGGGGACGGGTCTTACGGTTGCTCCG